AAGACAAGTGATGCAAATGAAAACAGCTCACCCCCAACCAACCAATGGCCAGACAGTCCTCAAGCAGCAGCTCTCTGGCCAACCTTACCCCCAGCTGTATATGCTGAGCATGACATCACATGGTGTGGAATATTCCTTTGGACAGTTGGGGTCAGCTGTCCCAGCTGTGTCCCCTCCCAGCTCCTTGTGCACCCCCAGCCTACTCGCTGGTGGGGGGGGGTGAGTGGTAGAAAAGACCCTGACTCTGTGCAAGCAATGCACAGCAATAATAAAAAAACAGTCCACACAATCTATCCAAAACACAGCCCCAGACTAGCTGCTATGAAGAAAATTAACTATCCCAGGCAAAACCAGCACAAAAGGCAACCAGTTTTTCACTTGATTGTTTTCATCTTAAACTCCTACGTGATTTCCTATCAACAGGGAATAATGTCTTTATGATAAAACAGACTTTTTGATTTATTGGTCCACGATAAAACACAAAATGCTTTATTTGTGTCAGTTGATGAGTAGCTGGAGTGTCCTTCCTTCATAAGAGCCCTGTTGATCATTTTCCATGTTGTTCAACAGTTTGAGAGAGCGTACATTGGAATGAGTGCTTCAGGGGGTATTATGAATTTGTGTGCTGTTGCACAAGTGTATTAAACACAGAAATACACACCCACTGTGGTCTGAGAAGGGGCGTAACTAACAGCTATTTCTGTAGTTTCCATACAAGTGGTTAACAATTCCAAACTGCTGCTAGTTTTACTCTTCATAAAAATACAGAAGTGCAGTTTCTTTGAACACTAAGTTGCCGGAGTAAGTTTTTGAGTGACAAGCCCCAGTATTACAGGGTCACTTAGAGAACTAGGTTTTCAAGATCAGCGAAGGTATGGGTTTGGAATAGCCATAAGAACAGTACTAACTAATTCAATAAAATTTTTTTTCCAACATCTTGCCAAATAAAATGTATTTTTTGTTCAACATTTTATTTGGCAAGATGTTGGAAGAGGTGTCAAATTCAGGTTTTTGCACAGATGCAAATTAGAACAAGGTATTCTGTTGACTTACAAACACATCTGCAAGATCAGCTCATCTTGCAAGTGTGATACAGGCTCTGAAAGGAGACAGAATTATGGAACTTCTGCTTATGTGAAAAAGAGGGAGGCCACAAAGATATTTGGTATCAGGAGATCAGACCACATAAGACTTGGGTTAATTTTAGATATGTTTATTGCACGCTCAAAAGGCAAAATAATATGACTTATATGTTTCCATATTAATAGAAGTGATAAACTTAACTGGTGCTGTGTCAGAGATGTGAGCTGCAGTTCAAAGCTGAGATGTGTAAAGTAGATTTCCTCTGCCCTCACTGCACGCCATGTAGCGTAAGTGGGTGTAGAGAGGTGATGAACAAGGTATGGGTTAAATTAGTTAAGATGCAGTCCTAAATACATACATAAAACAATATTTTGAGGGTAGAACACCTCTCTTGGACAGCCATACTTCTGCAAATACAGCAAGTTCAACAGTGATAGAAAACACCTGCTGAGAATTGTTTTGCAGGGGAATAAATACGAACTGCATTTCATAACAGAATCTTCAGCAGGTTAACAGCACCCTTCCTCATGGTAGGATCTGTTATCCTCATCCCAGTCCAGGCTGGTATACGTCTAACCCATTTTTAAAAACACCTATTTTGGTTTCCATAGTTTCTTTCTGAGTAACATAGAGCCGTATCTTTTCTTTGTCATCAGGCAGTGCTTCTTCTAACTGAAGACTGCACTGAAGTCTAGAAATGCTGCACTGCTGTTCATAGCTCACTGGAGTACTCGTGTGCCTTACATTTACCAGTGACCGTCCCAAAAGACAGGCAGCTTCCTAGTGCCTAAAAACAAATCAGTCTAGCACCCTGCAGATTACTATACACATGCCAATAGCCTTTGTTGGCATAATGTATTGTAATGCGTTGTGTAGCGAGTCTCTGAAGTTTAGTAATCCCTGTCAGCAACCAGAATAAATGGAAATAGCTTCCAGGAGATGCAGAGCCTATGAAAAGACTGCTAGTTTTCAAGAGCTACTAGCATTTGAACTCGCACATGGAGCATCTGAAACAAAACCTCATGAACAGTCTTTTGTCACAAGCGTTTGTGAAAGTCAAATGCGCGAAACGTGCCTAAGAAAAGAGACTGAAGGGAGTTGGACTGAGAACTGTCAGTTTGATAGTTTCCCTGCTGAAACAAAGATCTGGTGCGTTCTCGTAGGCTTGTTGACAGCGGGAGTTTTTGATGTGTAACCTTGTAATATGCCTGGGCACTGAATTTGCTGGCTGGGAACAGCAAGGTTCCAGATGAAAGTACGCACACCTGCTTACGGAGAGGGTCTGAGCCACAAGCGAGGGGTATTAGGTCTTTTGTATGGACAACATAATGCTGCTTGGGGTGAAGGTGCACCACAGGTGCTGAACACCCGAAGCCCTCACTGCAGGCAGCTCAGACCATGCAGCCGGGGAAGGGCATCTCTTAGTCTGCACTTGCCCCGCGCTTTGTGCCCTTTCCTTAGGCAACCCCCAGTGGCCTTCAGCAGGGAACTGATCTAGATGGAGCTTTGATCTGATCTAGTACTCCTGTACTGATTTTCTCATGCCGCTGTGAATTACTGACATACTGAAAGTCTTTCAGAATTTACTGCTGTAGGGCGGTTAAAGGCGTGTTACCCAATAGCACAACCCTTCAGAGCAGTTGAAATTATTTAAACCCTTTCAGAGGTTACCATTGTTTATACGGAGATAACACCACCGTAATAAATACTGCTGGCTTTACTTGGCCGTGCACGTTCAGTGTAGTGTACCGCTCTCCTGTTTATATCTTCCCTTATTCCTGTGTTTTTAAAATGCTCTACAGTGCTCCGTTGAAGTTCTGTTTAAATGATCAAAGGCTTTAACAAAACTACCCTTTAATATCATGCTGCGCTCATACCGTAAGATAACAGAAAATCAATTCTGTTGCTAGAATTCCACGAGCAAACTCCTTACTCCCAAAGCATTAAAACCCTTCAGCCTCAGCGGGGTTGCCAAGTACAGCACTCATTGTGCACGTGCGCTGCTAGCCTGTGCTGAAGCATTCGCTGTTTCATTGTCACCTCTTGGTTAGGTTAAATGAAGGTGTAACTGTCACCCTACCCACGCCTACTCATTCTGTGTTTAACCTTGCAGACACACACAGGGGGAAAACAGTGTTTAACTAAAAGACAAGAGACATACTAGGAGGTAAATCTATTTCCTAAAATCATTCCTGATCTGAGCCCCAGGAACTTACCACTCCTTAGTCCAGAAGATCCCATCTCTGTGTGCCACACTCTCCGTTTCACTGCACTACTTGCATTATTTCATCTGTTACCATCTTCTCCAGTCCTCTTTCCGATCAGTTTTCACCCTCTGCCAAGGTGATCACAAACATCATACAGACCACTCAGCATCACAACAAGCTGAGGCTTCATCCTTTTTTCAATATAGCTGATCTGTAACAAAGTCAGCAGCTGAAATACCTTCCCTCCTCTGCATGTTAACAATGTTACTGTTTCCCTGAAGCAAAGCCTGTTTTCTTCCACTACATTTTGAATTTGTCCTTGTAGCAGCATGGAAACTTCCCAAGTTGCAAGTGCACTATGAGTTAAATGGGCAGAGGGCTTGCATGGTGCAAAGCATCGATTTCTTTCCATCCCCTGCAGGCAACGAGACAATCACCTGCTTATAAGATGACAGAGAGGGATCTAGTTAAATGAAACCAGTTATGAATATTGCAACCAAGAGACGGAAGCCTGCAGAGACAGAAATAGAGGGCCCTTCTGCTGCCACGCCACACCTCCCTCACCTCCTCAAACTGCTTCTGTTTGAGCTTAGCAGCCACTGCTGTCATTGCCTACCAGCTGCTGTGTGAGAAGGGCTCTCTGAAGCCATTTATCAGCACTGACTCTGCTGATGGGGAGTGGGCTGGGGGGCGGGGGGAGCAGGGAGGAGTATGGTTTGCAGCAGCTGAGGAGGAATGACAGCCTACCACCTGGGTCTAAGTCATTCCCTCTGATTTGCAAACTGACCTTCCTCCCGTGGGATCTGGATGGAGATTGAGTCTGTTCTTATTAAGGCCAGAAACAAACTTTCAGTTCAAAGAGGACGGGATTGAGAACAATGCTTTTGGTCACTTACTTGCCTGCCTGTCTAACCCTGTTAGAACAGTCTTTCAAGCGGCTGTTGAGGAAGTAAAGACTGCTCTTTGCCTTTGGCTAGCGGTGGGCAGACTGCTGTTAGCGTGAATGTGCGGAGTCTTGCAGCAGCAGTGACAAGAGTGCTCAGTAGGATGATAATGGCATTGTGCAGTACAAGCAGCGTAAAGGTCCTTTTTTTTTTTTCCCAAGAAAACGGCATATTATTATGGAAGAGTGGACATCTTTGCATCTTGTTTTGCTTATTGGACTTCGAAGAAAGTTTTGACAAAATAGTCCCTGTGTGATTACTTTCCCGGTCATTTGCAGTAAGAATACGAATCACTGCAGGCTGCCTTACGGTGTTTGCAACAGTGAAAGAATTCGCTCTTGTCACTGTACAGGCACTTTTTAATAACTGGATTCTCAACCACACAACTTTCTCTGCTCTAGATTGTCCCCTCTGCTTCAGTTGTACCCTTTACCAGTAGTTGGGCGGGGAGAGAGAGGTGCTGGCTAAAGCAGAAAAGACTCCATGCTCAGTTCATTTGTCTTCTGCTCTTGCCTTCCTCCACTTGCTCTTCTCCATGGAGGTGATGGAGATACACCGCAAGGCAGCATCAGATTAATCAAGTGAAACATTCAATTGTGAAAAATAAACAGCGGTTCCTACTTTAAGTAGAGAGGAAAACTGGAGATGAGCCTGTTTGCCGGACAGTAAAATGTTTTGTTCCCACAGGCCACTCGGTCCTGGACCTTGGGAAACTTCTGTGGTCTGGATATCCCTAGGCTAAACAGAAAGGATAATCACTGGCACACATCCAAAGAATGAGAGCCAAATCCCTGCTGTCTTGGAGGTGGCAGGACTTCAAAGATTAGCTTTAAAAGCCACATGAACATGTAGGGATGTGACAGCTGGATAGTAAGAGAAGAGGTAGATACCGTGGTGCTAGTTTGTAGGCTGAATTACAAGAGACTGGTTATAGAGTCCTACAGATTGCACACTCAGCGTGCATAATTTACCTGGTGCACTGCTTTGTAACCTGACAGAGGAGTGCCAGAGCATTTAAGGCCCTAAGTTTTGCCCCATTCAATCAGCCTGCTTCCTTAACATCTGCTTTACTGAGAGAATAACAGAAAGAAATCACTTTTTTAACCACAAAACCAAGTTCAATGGCAAAGTAGTTATACTAGGAAGGATGTCTGGTACCCCTTCTTACAGGAAAAGTCCTGTAAGGGTCATGCGCACCATTCTTCAGTGAGTGCCTTGAACCAGCGCTGGAGCTGCCAGCTCCCAGGAGAGCCCTCAGCCTGGACTGAAGCCCTGCCTCAGGAGTGACCAGAAAATTAAACAGCACGTACTACCACCGTACCGTTTGTTGCGGGTTTTTTATGGAAACTTTCCTTCCATGTATGGACGCACTTCAAAATAACACAGCTTGGTGGATATTTGGCCTGAGGGCACCGTGTCTGCAGGACTGTGCTGAACACCTTTGCCTTGGTATCAGGCATATTAAGTACCAACAGTACTAGTATCAGCAATGCCTTTAAACCCCTAATCTTAGATTTAGGTCAGATCTCTGGGTCTTGGAGTACTTCAGATCTTTAGTTATAAAAACACTTGATAATTTGTAGGAATATGGGTGTCTTAACTAGAGCAAGCACTGTAAAAAGCAAGTTTCTGAACTGGTTTTGTAACAATTAGACCATTCAAGTATAGCCATTTGCAGGCACCATAAAAATCCTTTCTATATGTGTCAGTCTTGTTGTGTGAGGAACGTGAAGAGTATCAATCGCTTCTGAGGTTAACGTGCTTTTCTTACTTGTCTACTATGAGTAATTGCATTCAAGCTGAGTATAAATGTACTGTCTGTGCACAAGAGTATTACCGCATGTAAGTATTTTTAAAAGTCTTTAGATTGTTGCAAAACAGTGCTTCAAATATGTTTCTCATAGTGAAGGAAATGAATTCTGACTGTGTTTATGAACTTTACTTGTGATTGTTTCTCATCCACTACTTGTGATTGTTTGATTGATTGGAGAGAAGTGAGAATCTGTTTTCCTCTCTTTATTGAGAACAACAGAATTGGTCATGACTTTTGGAGCGTTCAGCGTCCTCAACTTAAGTCGAAAACAAGAACTGTTGGTGGTTGGGGTGGCTCTCTGAAGAGCCTTTCAAAACCTTCCCTCCACTTTCTTCTTGATTAGAGTCAGGCTGAACCGTAACATTTGAATTGTTAGAATCCAAGCCCAGCAAACAAATACTCTGTTAGGTTCACGTGCGTGCGTGGGTTGGATTTTTTTTAAAGACTGCTTCATAAACTGTTGAGTCAGGATTATTGCTTAAGATGTAAGTTTTGTTACTTTCTTTCACCAGTCTTGGTGCAAAGAGGCAGAAACATGCCTGCCTTAGTGATGATTAAAACCTTAATTGTTGCATGCTACAGATCCCTGAACACTGCAGAAAAGCAAATGTATTTTTATTACTTTGTATCCATCTTCTTCTTTCATTTAACACTAAAAGTACCCATCAGAGGAGGAAACAAAATGTTTTAGACCAGGAGGGCTTATCTTTTGTTATGCTTCCCTTCTGAAATACAAACATTTTTTAATTTTGTTCTTCTTAGCTCTGTTTTGTGATGTTTTGGACGCCAAACGTGTCAGAGAAGATTTTAGTTGACATAATTGGAGTAGACTACGCTTTTGCAGAGCTGTGTGTTGTTCCCTTGTGCATCTTCTCCTTATTTCCAGTTCCAGGTAAGAAAAAAAAAAACCAAGAAAATAAAACTTCTGTAACCTCAAGGCCAAACCAAGGCTGCCTCTGACGTCGGCATAGACTGAGGCTATTTACGTCGGTAGGGAAGATAGAAACGCTGCAGTGAGAGCCGTCTGGCATTAGGCAGATTGCTGGCTGTCCAGAGTTTGAATTCTGTCTGTTGTAGCTGACCAAGAGGAGGCACAGTAGCAGCACACACGTGGCAAGAGTGAAATTCATTGTTTGGAGTACTATCTAGGACGTGCTGCACAGTAACATCAACTCAGTCTCCCCTTCTGCTGCCAGTCTCAGTGGCATTTTCAGATACCATCCCAGGACGAGAGTTAATGCCCACATAGGAGAGGCAAGCTTGAGGGCAGCAATCACAATGTTTGCCTTCGAAAAGTTTCTAACTTCTGTAATCAAATGCGACGTCACGTAGTGTTTTCTGCTTACATGACAAGGCAGTTTTGTAAAAAAGGTAAACGCCAGATATAAGAATAGGGACCTGTAGATACCGGTTTTGTGACTGGCTGTTACACCATGGACCACGCAGGAGCTAGAGGGACAACGTTCCTTGGTGTGGTTTCTGTTTAGGGAAGCGATACTCTTCTAATGAAGAAAACGGGATGGACTATCTGATAAACTGGTTGCAAGAGAACAGCTGTCAGGAAGGCTTGCAGTCTTTAACCAGCACTTTGTTTTTTCAAAAATCAGTTTATTAAAGCAAGTTGGACATGACTTCTACTTCATGTCTAGTAGGGCTTCCCAGTGTGCAGAGTTACTGGAAACAAGTTTCACCGTGGTTATTTCTGAACAGTGCTCTCTGCATGAAAAACCTTCATATGAGATGACTGATATTTTTTTTTACTACTCTCGCCTCCCTTTCTTCCCGTCCCCTCCCCCTCCCCCGTTTATGAACAGTGACGGTCAGAGCACACTTGACTGGTTGGCTGATGACTCTAAAGAAGACATTTGTGTTGGCACCCAGCTCGGTGCTGCGGATTATCGTCCTCATCACCAGTCTCATCGTGCTGCCTTACTTGGGGTAAATCATTCTCCTCTCCCTAGAGCTGATGGGTTTGCTTTCCTTTTCGTTCCTGTCTCCTGTCACTTAATAGCTGGTTTTGGGGTAGCTCAGAACATTTTCCTCAAATAGTCACCATAATGTAAAGCCTAAATAGTTGTCAGTATCTGCAAATGAATCATTTACAGGCTCACAAATGTGACTTTGCTCTAGGCAGGCATAATAGTGATGTCCCCTTTGCAAAAAACAGGCAGATGTCAGAGAGGGAAACATGCATCCTATGGGGAATTTATTTCCATCCTATTAAATGCACTGTTAAGAAAGCTAATAGAAGAGTACCTTAAAGATATTCTTAGGGAATATGTTAAATAATCTGTTCCACAGCACTCTATACAAGGCTAAATTCTTAGTCCATAATTTGATTCAGAATGTGTTTCTTCTAAACAGTAAAGCCATAAAACAACAAAGAAGCCATTTTAAATGCCACTTACTCTTTTTGCCAGTGTATTATGTCTTTGAAGGAAATATTTCTAACAACAGATTGATTCTATATGCCAGTGGAAATATGATTATGAATCATGCATTCTTGCACACCCATGACTACTTTCTTTTTATACCGCCCACAGAGTTCATGGAGCCACTCTTGGAGTGGGATCCCTTCTAGCTGGTTTCATAGGAGAATCCACCATGGTTGCAATAGCAGCCTGTTACGTCTATCGGAAACAGGTAAGAATTAGGCTCTGGGATCTGGTGAAAGCAGCTGATGAGTGTAGTGGATTTTAGGTTTTTTTACACTTTTGAAATGTAACTCTCCAGCATCCCCACTTACTGAACTGGGTTTGCTTCCCCATGCGGTCTCAAGAGTGTGCAACTTGGGAATTATTTGGGTTGAAATAAAACCAGAAGGTGCCTTCCAGCTGCTAGTGGGCATTCAGGCCATGGGACCAGGCTGTGGAACGTGCTGGTCTGAAGTAAACCTCTTGCTCCTCAAAACAGGTGTATCATGGATATCGTGTCCTTACCACCCCCTGTTTTGCACTGTAGATCTGCTGCTACGGTACAACGTAGCTTCTGTGTGTACTCATCCAAGCTTATTATATTTGTATGTGTGTGTGTATATAGATATATGTATACTATAATTTCTTTGCAAAACCAGCTCTGCTGAAAATGGACCAAAAGTACAGTTGCTACGGTTTTTTTGCCACCTAAAGAAGGTGTTTAAGACCATAAACACCTGTAACAGTAGAGAATAAACGATTACAAATATGTAATTGGGCGAGGGTTTCTCGTAGGCGTGCTTTTACATATTTCTCATGCTGCAGTCCCGCATATACGAAGTAGCAGTGGTCATGGATTTCAAAGAATATTCCACTAAATGAAGTCTAACAGGGGATAAATATTGGCTAGGTGACTGGGTACATGGGGGTACCTGCATGCCTTGCCCTTCCAGTTACACGTTCAAGGCACTATGTAGGCACCAGGCCCAACTATGAGCAGAAATGGCATGGTGTGTACGTCGTTCCATGGTGCAAAGGGACTCTCTGGGTGGGAGCAGAAAATGCAATCTGTGCGTTTGCTTTTTTTTTTTTAATTTGACTTCTTACTAAAGGCCAAGTGAAGATTCCCACCACTTCTGTTTTTAGCAAAAAAGTACGGAAGACAGAGTATCTAAAAACCTTCTGTTGGAACAAACTAAACCCAGTTTTGATCATAGAATCACAGACTGGTTTGTGTTGGAAGGGACCTTAAGGACCATCTAGTTCCAACCCCCCTGCCATGGGCAGGGACACCCTCCACTTGGGATACATACGAGCGGTGCAGGCCATGGCAGTAAACCAAAGTGTACAAGGTTCATAAGAATATAAAAGACCTTGATCTCTGTCAGGATTGGTCTGCGATGGTTTTTCTTGAGCACCAGAGGGTGAAACCTGCAGACACTGAAATGACTGGTTTTGGCCTGGGGTTTCACATTTATCTCTTTGGACTAACCTCCTCGTCTCTTGTTGGTTACAGGAATAGCTCACGGAGCATTTCTGGCCAGGGACATAATTTTCTGGACATAATTTTCGATTTTTGTTGTTGCAGGTAGTAATAATAACTGTGCCAACCTAACCTGTTCCCTTACCAGAATGGGTTTGTTACTGATGGCATCGTCCCAGCAGCCAAGGGGGCAGTGGCAGAGGCAGCCGGTAGCTGCACCCACCGACTGGTTTTCACCTTAGGGTGGTAGTAAGTGGGCGGCACTTGAGAGCTGCCAATCAGGTGTTGTATAGACACCTCTAACATTTTGAAACTCTGATACGCCCGGCTCAGCCGAATCAGTAGTACCTGGGGGGGGGATTTTTGTTGTCAGCTGTACAAGTGTTTTCTGTAAAACTAGTCAGCCTGCTGAGAAATGGATAATAAGAAACAGATGCTTCAACTTGTTTTGTAGTGGGGCTGAATGCTTCTTAGCTTTACTCATCCAGGACATCCTGGATGAATCATAGGACTCTTGAATGCCCTCCTGCTCCTGCTAGCCAAAAATACTGGGCTTTGACAGGGTGGGGGCTCAGAGTGGATCAGCAGTGTCAAGGAAAGCCAGAATGCTTACATCTTGTAAAATTCCTGCAGTTTGACATTTGAGAAATTAGGTTGCCACCTCTGTCTCCCTCCCTAGGGCAGCTTATCTCCTCTCACATTCTGTTTGCTTTTCTTTTCTTTAACAAAAAGTCTGATGTAAGAGATTCCAGATGCTTTCTTCCCTGCAGTCATGCTGAAGCCCAATTTGGATGTTGCTTTAGCATAAGAAATGCCTCTATTATTGCATTTGTGTTAGAAAGGAGAAAGCTGAGCCCCAGGAAGGTTATGGAAACCTAAGTGAAGACAACTTTCGAGTGACAAGCCATGAATATGACACAATTATTCCAGCTCCTAATAATGTAACCAAAAAAAATTACTCGCACCTCGCTTCTCCCAGAGTTTGTCGGAGCGCGTTCACGCACAGTCTTACTGATGGGTTTCCAAATGCTTGTTCCGATCTAGGAAAAGAAGCGGAATGAGAATGAAACAGCTGCAGAAGGTGAAGACTCCGCAATGACCGACATGCCTCACACAGAGGAAATGACAGACATCGTAGAAATGAGAGAAGAGAATGATTAACAAATGGGATGCAATTGTTCTCTGCAGGGACGATTGGAGTGACACTTCAGCTTCTTGTTGTCTCTCATGCTTTTTTTGTTTGTTCATTTTTATTTTTGTAATAAAGAGGCCTTGATTTAAAAGGTTTCAGATAAATTCTCTAGCATACTGAGTATGCTCTCACTGATGAGGGACCTAAAAAGAGGTCTTTGCTTTTTCTTTCTTCTTTTTTTTTTTTCCCAATACAATTTGTTTTCTCACTCCATGCAAACGTAAAAGATACAATTGCATCACGGTAGAGTCTTCCTTACGTACGCATCCACCTTCTCTGGACAATCCGCGTTTGTCAACCAAAGCCCTGCTCTCCGCGCAGGTGTGCGTGTGTGCGGGCACGGGCCGGCGCGCGCACACGCACGCGTGCCGCTGGCTGAATGCTACTGCCATAATCCTACTCCCCCCCCTCCTTCCTTTTCCTTCCTTTTCTTTATGAGAAATGTTAAGGAAAAGAAGTTTGGAATACAGAGCTTTATTTTACTTGCTTGAAAATGACTTTGCTACATAAACTAATATACTATGGTGAACTATATCTTTTTGTTTGGCCTCATCACTAGAGCTTATACTGCACAGGGTACAAAACAGAGAGGAACTTGAGAGTCTCCACCCACAGAGTGGAGAAAAACAGGTTCCTCTCTCCTGTTAAAAGTGTGTGGATGTGTATGTACACACACAGGTACATAAACAGAGATATACATATATATATATGTACTTATATATATATGCATACGATAAATGAAATGCACACGGGACAAGAACTCTATTGAGCATTCATTCCATCGGAAAGATAATAATCTTTTGGAAAATGGAAACATTTCATTCAGAATTTTCTTGAATCGTTAAACCCCGCCTTACTTATAATTTTCTTTAGGGAAAAAAAAAAAAACCCAAACATGCACTTTCCTCTCATGAAGAGGGTGATGGCAACTGATAGACTTTGACTATATTTGAATTAAAAAGAATAAATATTGATGAGCTTTACCAAAGTTCTTGTCCACTGATTTAACTTTAGTTTTTAAAGGTTGATTTGCTCTATATACTTATTTCTGGTGCCTATATATTAAAAAAAAAAAAAATCAGATAATGTATGCAGGATACCATGGTATATCGTATTCCTACACATAGCTCCATGAAATTTTTTATAGAGATTTACACATACTAACACACAAGTGTGTCTATATATATATACACACAGTTATATATATATATACACACACATATGTATGTTTTGCTATCATATATTTACCTATGCAGTAGATCAAAATCCATATGTTGAAGCTCAAGTACCGACGGTCCTCCAAGTGGTTAATTAGGGACCTTGATCATGTGCAGGCTCTCAAGGCAAGAGCTGTGTGGACGTGGGGAGCCGCTCACACCAATCGGCAAGCGCCGTACTTGGAGGAGGCAGCAGGCGCCATGTGGTTATGGTCGAAGCGGGCCTTAAATAGCAGAGCGTGAGGTCGGGTGGGCGACCTGTATCGGGTGAAGATGACGCCTGTGTAAGAGGTGACCAAACCAGAGAGGGTTTGAGCGGCCCCAATGGTGGCTGCGGCGGCAGCTTGTATTCCTGTGGTCTTTGTGGGGCTGCGGGGCAGCGGTCGTTACCCCTTTGTAGTAGCTTGAGGTCTTTCAGTTTAATCATGCCAGAGCCTGGAAACCGTTATCCTCCATGCTATATCCATAAATCAGTTAATTTAAACCTTATTTACTAAAAATATATTTTTCTAAGTTGTGAAAATGGTTATTTAATTGTGGACAAATTCCATTTCTAGATTTATTTGCCAGGTAGTCCCAGCTCTCAGAGAACTGAACTAAACATTACTTTAAATGTTATGTCAGTATATGTGTATGTAGACGTACACATGTGTATAAATATATATATTGTATATTATGTACATTTATTTTAAGCTCCAAATACATTTCCTATTTTTCCAAGTTCAGCCAAAAACTGAAAATGTCTAAAATGTCTCTAAAACCTACAGAGTTGGCTAGTAACCAGTTATGGCCATCATGAAAGGCATTGTATCAATGAACTTTACTTTTTACTGTAAACATTTGTACCAATGTGTTAACGTGTACAAATGCAATAAGGAAAAATGTAGAAATTACTGTGTGGAATACCAGATTTGCAGAATCAGTTCATGGGCAGCGGGCAGTGGCACTAGGAGGGTAAGACTAAGGCCAATAACCACAGGTTTTCTGCGCCACCACAGAGTTGTTCTCCTTGGGTTTGACAGTCCTTTAAAAAACAAGAGGTTAAAAATAAAACCCCTCAGACAAACGGTGCTTGTGCGTTATGCAGATGGCGCGCATTCATGAACGCAGGCTCTCGGTCAGTCCTATGTATATAGTGTATGTGTAGAGGCTCTTACACATCACGGTGGCCATCTGCCGTCATCTCTGTTCCCGTAATTTTGGTTTCTCTGGTACCTTTGTATCCAAGACCACAAGGCGCAGTTTTTCAGGAACTATATGGATAAAGCAAGAAAGTGTTTTTGTGTAACGCTTCTTTTGGTACATGACTAAAATTCAAACGGCACTATTTCTGAAGAATTTTGAGCATTACCGATGTAGGTTTGAAGGTAATAATTACACCAAAAAAAAAAAAAAAGTGAAACGAATGAAACACTGAAGCTTTTGCTTTAGATTTAGATCAAAACCTGAATTATTGGTCACACAGAAATAAACTAATGGTACCATAAAAGATAAATTTTCAGTTGTATGGGTAATACTTAACAGTCCTTTACTTTGCAAGGTACTGAATGAGCGCAGGGGTGGTGGGATTTCATAGAATCACAGAATCACAAAGTTTGGGTTGGAAGGGACCTTAAAGACCATCTAGTTCCACCCCCCCTGCCATGGGCAGGGACACCTTCCACTCGACCAGGCTGCTCAAAGCCTCATCCAGCCTGGCCTTGAACACTTCCAGGGATGGGACATCCACAACATCTCTGGGCAACCTGTTCCAGTGCCTCACCACCCTCTCCGTGAAGAACTTCTTCCTGATATCTAATCTAAACCTCCCTGCTTTCAATTTAAACCCGTTACCCCTTGTCCTGTCACTACAGGCCCTTGTAAAAAGTCCCCCCCCAGCTTCCTTGTAGCCCCTTCAGGTACTGGAAGACTGCAATAAGGTCTCCCCGGAGCCTTCTCTTCTCCAGGCTGAACAAGCCCAACTCTCTCAGCCTTTCATCATAGGAGAGGTGCTCCAGCCCTCTGAGCATCTTCGTGGCCTCCTCTGGACTCGCTCCAAGTGGTCAATATCCTTCTGATATTGAGGGCTCCACAGCTGGATGCAGCACTCCAGGTGGGGTCTCACGAGAGCAGAGTAGAGGGGGAGAATCCTGTCCCTTGACCTGCTGGCCACGCTTCTGATACAGCCCAGGATACGGTTGGCTTACAACGGATTTGGGCAAGAACTCAAGTGGGGCTATACGGCATCTCTTTCCGCTTCCTGCAGGTTGCGCATTTCGTTACATCACTCTGTGGGACTAACAAAATGTGCGGGCGTTTCTGCGATGAGCGACCCCAGACCAGCCCGGGTGCTCGCTGCATGGGCAGGCAGGGTGCTTGGCGGGAAGGCACCTGCCCAAGGAGTGCCCTGTCCCCGGCTGCCCCTGGTCTGCCTCTGGGTAACGTCATCCAGGGCTTCAGCGGCCACCCGAACCCGCTCGCTCCAGGTGCCGGTGGCAAACGCAGCTGGGCCGGTGGAACAGCCGGTCTGATGGGCTAGGGGCAGGGAGCAGGCAGCCGTCCTCCCGGGCTGAAGCCCCAGTCAGAGTGTTACTGGTTCCAGAGTCCGTGTCAGGCAGGTGCTGGTGCGTGCCCTGTCCTGCACCTTTTCCTTCCCAAAAAGACTTCCCTGCGTTCTAGTAAAATAACTTAGCTGTCTCTTCCGTGTTCCTGTTTACAACATTGTTGTCTCCCTCTCTGAGAAATACTTTCCAAGAGAGTCCTGTTAGGTCTCTGCGGAGTGCAGTCACCTCAGTGACTTCACGTGGAGGTTTGGCCTTTCCAGACTTCCTTGAGAATTACTGAACTACACAATCGAAGCTTCCGTAAGAAGAGGAGCAAAGTTGATTTTCATCCTACGTCTTAAACTTCTGGCTATGGGAGCAGAGCTCACGGGGCAGGAAATAAGAGCAGAACACAGGTAAACTGTGGATTAATGTTCCTCAGCTTTTCATACGTACGGAAAGCTGTGTTAACTTGTCTTGAGTTTTCCTTTTGCAGGCTTTACAGGAACCCTTGGGGTTTTGTTTTCCCCTCGCTGCCCTAAGCAGCCCCCTCTCGCTTCCCAAGTGGTGGACTTGCTGGAAGAGGCTACGCGTTCCCCAGCCAGTGCTTGAGGCCCTTCGGGCGCAGCAGCGGGTTCCCAGGCGTGGGGCTGCCCCCGCTCCCCGTCCCCCCTCGTGCAGCCGGTCCGGGCAGGAGCGCTCAGCTGCCTGCTTGTTAGATAGAGCCACCCTGCGTGAGAGCATGGGGTGAGTAACAGAGAAGCCTTTTGTTTTCTACTCATTTTGCTGCTAAATATTTCCTTTGAGGGGGAGAGATTTATATCTGGCTTTTGCTCCGTGTTGTGCCGAATCTGCCGCCAGAGAGGGAGCAGCCCGAGACGGAGGGTGAGCTGATGAATGCAGCCGATTCAGGGCAGGCCACGATGCCTGAATAGAAACCTTTTGAAAGCGAGAACGTCCTCTTTTGTGGGATGGCGCCTCACGCTTAAAAAGAAGGGAGATGGGACGTTTTCGGGCCCGAGCCCTTGGTGTCGCCAGGCACGGGATTGCGCTGGGCCGCGAGGTGTCAATGGGGACAGGGAATCCTGCGGCTTCAGTATCCCGGCCCCGCCGCCAGCATCCTCAGCGGAATGCAGGGCCGCGCAGGGTGTGGCAAGGCGGGAGCATCAGCTCCGTCTCTCACTGCGATTTTATGGCTGTGGCATGATCAGCAGAGGTCTGAGCATGGCTGGGTGTTCTCTGAGCTTAGTGGCAGTAGCCGTCTGTGTACGGGAAGGCCGTATGTTTATGTGTATGCACATGGGTGTGTATAGGAGGGTGTTGCGCAGGTGGTTTTATTTTGGATAT